GCAGGCCCTGCTCAAAAGTCTCCCTCTTTCCTCTAAGCTCCCTTGAAGTCCTGAGTGGCCACAGGAAGGTCTCCATATGCAGTACTTCTGCTGTGATGTTTACTGCGGATTTTCTTGTTTTAAGTGTTCCTTTTTACCTGCCATTGCTATCAGGTTTTCCATCAAGTCCCGTCAGACTTTCAGTTTGTGAATGACTGTTCATTTCGTTTTTCTAGCAGATGTGCCTTCTGGGAGGATTGGTATCTCACCTGATGGTGCTGAGGTTCCTTTCTATGGCCTAGGCAAGAGCACCAGGGAAATGTCATTCCCACTGAAGCATACATAGCCATTTGAGCAGCTTGGTCTAGTGGAAGATGTCCCTGCCGATGGCAGGAGGGTTGAAATGGTGGATCTCTGCAGATCCCTTCAAAGCCAACACGTCCCGTAAGTGTCTGTGTGCAGTGCAGCCTGGTTTGAAGGAGAACCGTTTTGTGAACTATGATTTTCATGTGTTGATCCTCTCCTGGTGACAAGGGCCGTGTGATCTCTGGTGCCCCCTGTGCTGCCTCCTCTGCCCAGGGCTTCCCTTCTCCTTTTGCCAGCAGCTTGCAGTTAGTGGGAAGTATGGTACGGACATCGTGGTCACCGCTGGGCATCATCGGGGCTTGACAGTCAATTATAGCGTGCTTGGTAGATACAAAAGCATGGTGGTGATCGTGGCAAAAACCTCTCTTGAGTGCTGACCCTTGTGAATACGTGACAGAGGGGAGAGGAGAGTGTTGTGGCTGCCACTGCTCCTGCTGCCCACGTGGAGCTCTGCTCTGCGCAGAAGCCGTGACAGGGATGGTGCCACTGTCAGAAGGGTGTTGGGGTGAGTTTCAGGTGAGTTAAAAGCCTGTGTGCTGGTGTTCACCCCGATTGTCCTTTAGCCACGGTTGCAAATCTGTAAAGTGTTGGCTGTAAAGTAATGGTGTCTTTCTGGTAGATCATAGTCCGTGTTCTAGAGCTATGGGAGGAGGTCAGTGAGCTCAGCCTTGCCCTCTGCAGGGCTGGTGGCGCGTCTTTCACCTCTGTCATTTGTTCTTAATAGTTCAGTGGAATTTTACCTGCCTGCTTCTGAAACTGAGCTTAGGAGTTGACCATGGCTCTGACAAAAGGCTTGGGCTTCGAGCCAGAGGGCGGGAACGTAATTCTGCAGCAGTGAAAGCCAACACCTAAGGACAAAACTCTTGGAAATCTTGCTCTCCCTTGCACTGCTGGTGTTGGGAATTGGAAATGCCTGCTGGCTCATGCAGGTGTTGCTGAATGCTAAAGTCATTTGTGCCTTGAACTTCCATTCATCAGGAAGTTGTTAGTGGGAGGTATGGGCTGCTTTGGTGACTATTAGGATCATAGAATCATAGAATTATTCAGTTTGGAAAAGACCTTTAGGATCATAGAGTCCAGCTGCTAACCCAGCACTGCCAAGTCCACAGAATTGCTGCTCAGTGGCTGAGCCCATTGCTCCTCTGCCCTGGTGCAGCTCTGCTGTCTGCACCCGCTCCGCAGGTGGGTCTGGACACGGTCACATTCATCTGCAGCGCTGACAGAAGAGGGCAGGAGCTAAAGCCTGCACAGCCATTGCTGAGCTAACAGAGAGCTCACTGCGCCCTGCTGCAGCTCGCCCTGCCTGTCGCCTCCTGCTTTTTGGAAGAGAGCAGGCTCTGAGTCTGTTCAGTTGGTTTGTGTTCTCTGCTGTCTTCCTGAAAGCGCCTGCAGAGGGAACAGGGCTGTTTGAACCAGAGGGATGGAATCTGCTCAATAAGTAATTTATTAGCAGTGTGCTTGTTACAAAACCCACAGGAAACCCCTGCACCATCTTCCCATTCACTGGCCTGTTCTGCAGGGCGGGTAGAGGAGGGTACGGCACTTCTGCTCAGCCTCCTCTTGGGGTTTCAGCCCTTGTGGAAGAACACCTTTAACCCCGCGAGGCCCTGGCAGAGGCTGGAGCAGCTCTGGCTGACCTGCCCTCCCCATCCTGCTCCCTGTGCTCTGCAGCACCGGGGGCACCAGGGAGGCAGTGGCTCCCCGAGCCTGGCGTGCTGCCTGTGCTGCCTGCTGCTGCCTGGCCCCTGCGGCCTCGAGAAGTAAACCCTGCAAAAGAAGGGTTATCCTCACCTACGCTGTGTGGGGGGTGAAAGCCCAGAGACCCTGAGTCCCTGGTGCTGGCTGAGAGTGCCTGAGGCAGGAGTGGGTGTCATAGAATCACAGCCTAGTTTGGGCTGGAAGGCACCTTAAAGCTCATCCAGTTCCAAACCCCTGCCACGGGCAGGGACACCTTCCACTAGGGCAGGGTTGCTTTGGGCCCTGTTGATCAAACCCCTCTTGCTCTTCTGCACTGGACATGCTGGTGGCAGAGCACCCGTCCCCAGTACCAGTGAAGTGGGGGTGATCAGCACTGCCATGCGGTACCTATATCAAAGTGGGCAACACCAGTGACCCACCAGAGCTGCAGGGCTTGTTACCTGCTGTAAGCTGGTTTTAGAGGCAGGCTCTAGAAAGGTGCTTAGACTTGCAGCTTTTTGCTGTGGCTGTTTCCTCTCTCCCTTTAAGGAGTCTTGGTGCAGCCTTTGCTGCCTGAGGTTGCAGCGTGTGTGCCTGGTGGATGCAGAGATGGGGTATGCAGAGATGGAGGATGGCCATTTCGGCAGCTGGGAGCACTGGGAGTATGATGCGCTTTGTTTGCTTATGTGGCATTGGGACTGCATGCTGCTTGCCTGTCACTGGCAAGCAAGCCCAGGCTTTTGAAGGCTGTGAATTATTTGCTGTTTGTGTTAAGCAGCACCAGAGGGTAGCTTTGACCTAGATCGGAGCTTTCCATGTGGCTTTGAAAACCTGGGATGCTCACAGCTGGGATGCAGGAAGCCAAAACGCTGTCGGCTGAGTGGACATTTTAGGTGTCCTTAGGAAGGGTATTTTGGTTTTGTTTCTGCTTTGGCAGCAGTGTTTGTGAAAACACTTCAAGCCAGGGTGAGAATGCCTGTGAGGGCTGGCAGTGTGCCTGGGCTGAGCTGCGGGATGGACAGAGATGCTGGGAGCATCCTTCAGTGCCTGCAGCCTGGTGGCATCTCCTCCCCCTCGAGTCCTGCTCAGCCCCTCAGCCAGTGCTGCTGCTCTCCTGCGCAGGGTATGGTGTCGGGGGTGGTGGAGCCCCACGACCAGCCTGACGCTGTGTGTTGGAGGCGGCCGTGGCAGGGAGGGTGTTCCCAGTGAGGTGGGTTGGACAGATGGTGCCCGGAGTGACACGTGCCCTCCAAAGCAGCCGGCTCCATCTCTGTCATTTCCTCTTTGCAGGGCTCCCAGCTGGGCTTTTGTGCTCCTCGTGCTGTGCACTGTGGGGCAGTGCCACGTCCTGCCCTACATAGCCGTCGCCCCACCGGTGCATCAGCACGCTGCTGTGCCCCAGGGGCCAGCTGCCTTCACATGAGCAGAGCGCTTAGACAAGGTGTGCTGTCATCCTGGCAATGCCAGAGATGGACAACTCGCTGCCGTGTCTTGGGGTTTGGCCCATGCCTACAGGGCCCTGCTCTGTGAGGAGCAGGAGAAAGATGTCTGTGGATCTGATGGCAAAGCAACAGACAACACAGCTACTCAAACCCCGACAACAGGCACTGCAGCCACTCCAACCACAGTGAAAGACACTGCAGCTGCTCCAACCCCAGTGACAGACACTGTGGGTGTCCTTCACTCAGTTGAAATTGTCTTTCACTCAAGACCTCAGGTTAATGTTGCTGAGGTCCATCAAAATCTAAATGCACCAACCCTTTTCTGGGCTGGTGGCTTCTGCTGTGTCCCTGCTGTACTGGGCAGGCAGCTCCTGCCTGCTGACCCCGGTGCGGGGGCCTGGTTGTGGTCAAAATGGACAAACTCTGGACTCCTGGTTTCTTTGTGTTCACAGAGCGGTGGGGTGAGGACAGCACCGCTCCTGCTAATGCTTGTCAGGGTGAAGTTTTCACTGGAATCATGGTAGCTCTCCAGTCTTGGTATCTTTGGTTAAGTATTTCACTTAGTGGTTACCAAAGGGTGCCATGAGCAGTGGTAAGGCCGAAAGCTGAGGTCTCCCCTGGGTGACTCCCCAGATCAGTCACCCTAAGTTGAAACGACAATTTAAGGGGGAAGGATAGATATTTCATCTGACTTATCTCAAGGTGAGCGCCATCTCTCTGGAGACCACACTGACAAGCTCTCTGCAAAGTGTGGAGGGGCTACAGGGTGACGTGTAACCAGCTGCAAAACGTGGTACGGTTACGAGATGAGCAGAGACAGTTCTCTCTTAAATCCTCTCCATTCCACTGGTTCCTTCTCCAGTGAAGGTGGAGTAAAGGGAAACTTTTCCACCCCATTAATTTTCCCCTTTCTCTCCATTATGTATCTGTTTTGGATAATACTCTTTTAAATGTCACCTTATACAGAGGACTGTAATTTTTCTTTCTCCTGTGATCTTGTGTCCTCTGCCTTGCTGGGACAGGAGGTGTTTTCATTTCTGGTGACAATGACACACATGCTTCAGCAGACAACCCCTCATTTGCCTGCTGTGGCTTTACTAGTTCTGTTGTGTTCTCTGTTCTCTCCCACCTCTTCTGCACTCTGCAGCATCCCTTGTGCTTTCTCCTTGCAGCATCCTTCACATTCTTCCATTGCAGCGTTCCTTGTGTTTCCCAGCATTGCTGTTTGCAGAGGCCTTGTGCTCACGCACAGCCGAGGATAGCTCATAATGTTACCCAGCTGTGTAAACACATGGGTGTCACTAGCAGTGGTGTTTTGCATTGTGCCTTTATTGATGGAGCTGGCTGTCCGCTGCTCTCTTGGTGTCTGTAAGTGCTCTGGTGCCTGAGGTGTCCCATGCCGTGGCTGGCATTTGCCCCAGCTCCTGGGAGCAAGGGAGCAGAGGAGAAGGGGAAGGTGCCCCTGAGGGGCTCCTGAAGTGGAGTTGCAAACTTGGCAGGAAGCACTTGTTGATGCCTCTCTTCGTGTCGTTGCAGGCGAAGGACAGTGATGATGATGATGAAGTCACCGTCAGCGTGGACCGGGACCGCTTCATGGACGAGTTCTTCGAGCAGGTGAGAGGGTTTATTTTTTCTCCAGTGTAGCTCTAAAGTGAGCTCAGATCTTTCTGTTAGCACTGGAGGAGGCTGTGGGGCTGTGGTCCAGGCTCCCACTGCCAGCAGGGAGCAGCAGTAGAGGTGGGGAGGGGTCCCTGCCCTGGCTGATGCTGCTCAGCTGATGCTGGTGGTCCTTGGGGGTTGCACTCAGTGTGCCAGTTAGCAGGAACCAGGCTTCCGCGCAGACCTGAGGCTGTCTTGGGCTTACCTGGCCCTATGGATGCTTTGCTGCTCTGTGTGCTCTTCCAGACACCAGTGGGGCAGTGGAGCCCAGGTGCCTTGAGCTGCCCAGCCTCCAGCCTGCTGCTAAAGCTGACCAGCTCCCAGACTGCTCCTGGAGGCATCTCTGCAGAGTAGCAGTGTCTGCATGGGATTGGGTTAATTTTGTACTCTCGTTACCAAACAAGAGGTTGTCTTCTGGCATGTGGGTGGCTGTAAGATCTGCATGCGGATTTTTAGCACGCCCTTAGCATGGCATGTGTGTAGGGGGTGTTAAAATGTATCTGTGCAGGCAATGAAGTGGGGAATGAAAAATCTCATATGCAGATGGAGGAAAATGAGCAAAGTTGTGGTGTGAGTCGAAGGAGAAGACAGAGCTGGAAGGTGGGCAGCCCAGCAGGCAGAGGGCACAAGTAGATGTTCCCCTTTCAGCAATACGGGCATGTCTCCTGGTTGAGAAGTGCAGGGAAGATGCCGGCATGGATTTGCTGGCAGTCGTGGCCTCCCTGGCCTGTGGGATGAGGGTCAAACTGGGCTTCTCAACCCCTGGAGCAGAGAGCCATGGGGGACTGAGCCTGTCTTGTGCAGCCTCAGTAGTGCTCTCCATGCAGAGGTGCAGTGTCTGGGCATCCGTAGTTCTGATGCTAATTTAAACAAACCCTGAATGTTTCTCACTGCATCACAAAGAATATAGGACACAGCCTGTATGACATTGTTGTGACTGCAGAGCTGCTGCTGTGATGTGGAAGGGCTGTTTTCACAGTGGTCCTACAGTTTGAGAATCCAACTGGAAAATACTTGTTCAGGAGGATGTTTGCTGTGGTTCAGATGTGTCATGGTTGCTTTGGGATAGAGGTTAATAATCCCTCCCCTTCCCAAAGGCGCTGGTATCTCACAGGAGACCTCTCTGGTTTTCCCATCTCCACAGGTGGAAGAAATTCGAGGGTTCATTGATAAGATTTCAGAGAATGTGGAGGAAGTGAAGAGGAAGCACAGTGCCATCCTTGCCTCGCCTAACCCCGATGAGAGTGAGTGAGCTGTGAGCTCTGTGTCCCCGTGGGCACATGGCTGCATGGGGATGGGCCACTTGTGGGGTGGATGGAGTCAGGCAGAAGTCCTCGTCTTCAGTGGCCATAGCTGGAAAGCCACCAGCTGCCAAGGTGGCTGATGGCCGGGGTGGGGAAGGGCTCGGACCTGTGTGGGGAGTTGGAGGGATGGCTGGTGACTCTGGTGTTGAGAGGTGGTGAGGGTCCGGAGAGGCTGCTGGAGGGAATTCCTGAAGGGTGGAGGATGAAAAGAGCAAACGGCTGGTTTTGTGCTGTTGGCCATTGTCTTGCCCCAGGTTGCCTGGGGAGGGGATGGGGAAGAGGCAGCAGTTAGGGAACAGGCTGAGCATTGCCTGCTTGGCCCAGGAATGGTGCAGCTCACCTTTGAGTGTGCGCTTGTGACCCGACCTTCCTTGTCTTGAAGGACATTTTGCTACTGGCTGGCCAGAGTCTGTCCCTTCCAGGGCACTTGTCTCTAACTGTGAGTTGTTTCTGAAGCTCCCAGGAGGTTGCTGTGCACACATTTTCTTGTGTCCAGCCCTGGGACAAATCAATAGATATTGAAAATTGCTTGGAAGAACTCGGTGCTTGCAAAATTGTCTCATCCTCCCCTCTCCTGGCAGCTGCTCCTCAGCTAAAATGTACTTGGCCAAGCCTGGAAATGAGGGATCTTCTCAAGGAAATTCACGTGTCTCAGACTGCTGACAGTGATCCTTCAGGCTCTGTTAAACTGCACTCGCACTGTAAGGTTTTGCAGTGTCTGTTTGGGTGTTTTCAGAGAAGAGCTGTCACTGCTTTGCCTCTGGCTGTTGGGCTCATACGGCGTGCACTGGCATAGGGACTGCTCAGGGCTGAGCCCCAGCTCAGGCTGCAAAGGGCATTTGTGGCCTAAAAGCATAATAATCTATTTAAAAGTCTGAGATCTGCAGTGAACAGGATACAGTGACATTGGCATGACTTGCAGAAGCATCCAGGACGTTGGAAGTCCTCATGGTTTTGTTTTATGGTGTTACCTTGCCTTGATATCATAGAAAATTAAGTTTATAATGCCAAAACCTGTTTGGGCAGTGAAATAAGAGCCCACACCTTGTTTAAAAATGAGTGTTTTGTACTATTGTGGTGTGTCCAGGAGGTGCTGGGTCTGATGTATCAGGTGGGTCTGATCAGGTGCTCAGTGGTAGGTACGCTTGTGGAACTGCAAAAACACAGCACTGCACCAGCTACTAAGAAGGAGAAAAGTAACTGTTAGAGCTGAACCCAGCGCGTAAGTGGATGATACCTGTGATGACAGTCAAGGCAAGACATTGCTCTCTGCAGGGGGAAGGTTTGTGCAGGATTTGGGGTGCTGCTTCTCCCCCCTGGAGCACCTCAGATACTTATTAGTGATCTTTGTGCACTGTAGCGTCATGTGAAACTTTCACTACAAGATGATGGCTAGTCACCCTCCAGGGTATCAAAAGAAAGGCACAGACTTCTCATTCTTGTCTGGAAGCAGATGTGCTCTGTGTGGTGCAGCTGAGTTTGGTGTGAGGTTGTAGCTTCTCCTTAAGCACCACTGGCAAGTCCCTGCTGCAGCTGGAGGACCTTGGAGTGGGGCTTCAGAAGATCAGGGCAGAGCTGGGCTGGTAATTTGAGAAGCAGATAAACAGTGGTTGGAGTTGCTCTTGGCGCACTGAGTGGAGAGAGGGAGGGAGGGAAGAAGGGAGGGAGAAGGGGGAGGAGAGAAGGATGTACAATGTCTGCTGGCTGAATTCATTGCTGCTTTTTCAGGGTCACTGCTAGGCTGCAGAGGTACAATCCTCCTGGAATCTGTTTCTTAAATGCTAAGGCAGATGTAAGCTCTTGATGCTCTCCTGCACGTGTTCTTGCATAAGAAGGTGAGGTCCAGGTGTCTGTGTGAGGCCACCCTGTGTCTACCTACCTGCCTGACACAGGGTGAAGGTGCTGGGCTGGATCCATGTCACACAGAGAGCTCATCCCTCCTCTCCCATCCCCTCCCTTCCTGCTGATCCCTGTTGTGGCTGCACAGACTGTTCCTGGATCCATGCTGCCACTGCTGCCTAGGCTTATTTTGGTGCCTGGTGGGTGGGCAGCTGACTGGCTTTGCCATCATGCCGGTGAGGTGACAGCCCCTGCCTGCCTGCCTGTGCTTGCAGCTCCAAGTTGGGCAGCATCATGTCAGGACTTGGATGGGCTCAGAGTGGCCAAGGGGCTGTATTCCTCCTTGGCTGCTGCTACTTCTGAGTTGTATTCTTGGTAAACCTGTTCCTAAAGTCCTTCCTGGTGAGCTGCTGCATCTGTTGTTGCTCCTGGCACTTGCGGCAGGCTGTTCATCCTCAGTCCTTCGTCTGAGCCACTTCCCAGGGGAGGTGGCTTTGAGTGGCAAGTCACCAGCTGGAGAGGAATGAAGTAATGGTTTTGTTGGGGTGTTTTTCTGGGGTGGTTGGGAAGGACTTCTCTGCCATTTGCCTCCTCTCTGTGTTGCATCCTCCCTGTGCCCTCGTCGCTGTGTTACGTGATGGATGCTGTTCGCTGAATAAATTGCCCCTGGGAATGTAAATCTTCAAATCAAAGTCGTGTCTTTCAGCCTGTCAGCTCAGCCCATCTCCACAGGCTTCAGAAGACCCAATAAATATTTCAGATCTGGAAGCAGTCCTATTATGGCTCTGCACCAGGATGGATGGGGGGCTCAGTTCCACGTACACTTGACCTCCGGTTTCGTATTTTAAGCTGTGCAGACTGAAGGTGGTGGCTTTAGGCCCAGGTCCTGGGTGACTTTGTTCAGGCTCTCCATCTGCTGGAGAAGGTTTGAGTTATTTAGAGAGTGGTTTCTGTAATTCCTAGCAGAGAGATGTGCCCTCACCTTGGGGCTGGTACACCATGAGAGACTGGGGGTGCTGCTTGCACAGGCAGGAGAAGAGTATCTTGAAACTGGTCTTGTCATCATAAAACCTCTCTCCCAGCACTGGATACCCTGGCTGCCAGCCCTCTTCCACTTTCTCCTCCACATCTTTATCAGCTGGGGTACATCGTTCTCAAATGTGGACACCCAGACTGGCTGCAGCACTCAAATCTGTTCGCTCCAGAGGACAATATGGCAGAACCTGGAATTCTCCATTCTGACCTGCTCCCGGGGGTGCAGCACGATGCTTTCCAGCAGACCTCATGCAATCCCAGCTTTGCAGCTAGATCTCAGCCTTCTCGTGCTAAATCTCCATTGTCTCGGTGTTGATGCGGGGGGATAATCTGTTATTTGCAGAAATGAGTTTAGGAGGGCTGATATGAGCAAGCCATAAATCCTGTTACTGTGCTTTGCAGGATTACTTTGGCACTGCTGCATGCTGTGGCATGGGGAAGGCTTTCTAGGGATGCCAAGAGCAGGGGAACAGCCAGGAGAGAAGGGCCGGGATGCAGGCAGGACGTAGAGGAGGGTGACCAGGGGTCCTGTCATTTCCTGGGTCCCCAGCATCATTCTGAGGGCACTGCTATAACAGGGGGCTCCTGCTGTGGTGGGGGAGGAGTGTCCAGATCTATAGCTAACTTACTGGTAGTTGAAGATGTCAGGGGTGGTGTGCACAGCTGTGTTCCAGGTGGAAGGAAGGGGAGGAGAAGGATTTGATTAAAGTGCAGATTTTAGGCAAGTGGTGGGAGCAAGCAGGAGGATGCAGCAGGAAATCCAAGTGCTGAAGGACCCTGGGAGGTTTTACAGTGTGGAGAAACAGGAGCACAGCAAGAAGTGAGGTGAGCTGGGTCTGCTGGAGGAGGAAGGAGAGGTGCCTGGCATGGGTGCTGTTGACAGGGCTTGTTTGGTAAGCAGTCACGGGCCGAGGAGTAGAGGCTGTGGCTTCAGCACAGGAGACTTTATGCTAGACCAGGCTGGAGTTTGTTAGAAGTGGCTGCTCTTACCCATTGGGTTGTGTCATGTCCAGGCTGTGATAGTCGGAAACGCAGAGTCCCTGGTTCTGCTCTGTTGTCCTCTGGAGTGAACAGATGCTAGTGCTGCGGTCAGTTGGGGTGTCCACAGTTTGAGAATGATGTGCCTCAACTGATAAAGACGTGGAGGAGAACCTGGATGAGCGACTGAAGGGCTGACGGCCAGGGTACCCAGTGCTGGGAGAGCAGGTGCAGGGAGCAAAGCCCTGATGGTGTCAGCAGCACCAGGCTGGGCAAGCCCAGCAGGAGAGTGGGTTTGATGTCAGTGTAGGTGGCTCGCCGCTGGGATGGGGTGCCTGTTGCATCCCTGACAACTTCAGTGGAGTCACCGTCCATGGAAGTGTTCACAAACTGTGCAGATGCCCTCAGTGCCATGGGTTAGTGGTAGACTTGGCAGTGCTGGGGAACAGTTGGACTGGATGAGCTTAAAGGGCTTTTCCAACCTGGCTGATTCTGTGATTCTATGACAGTGTGGCTGGAAGTCTGTGAGATACCTACAAACTTTTTACTTCTGCATAATGACCAAATAAAGACACCTAGAATCAGACTGTAGGATAGTGCAGGCCAGTTGTGCTGGCCCAGTGCACAGCAGTGGGTCTGTGGGGCTTGTGTGTTTGCACCGAGAGGGGCAGAAACCACTACGCTCAAAGAGTGGCAGATCAAGGAGAATGCTGAAAGTAGAGAGAATCTCCACTCTTGGCTTAGAGACCCAAACTGATATCTTACCCTGTACTCAAAAATAGTGTACAGGAGCGTGGCCTAATATTGCAATGCAGTAAGGCAAAAAATATTCTTGGGGGAAGGTTTGGAACAGAATCCTGCTCCTTTTTTAAAAGGCAGTTAGCAGCGTGCTGCTGTACATTTAGATTGCTGCAATAATCAAGTGTTTGAATCATAGAATGCTGCTCCAAAACTTCTCAACGCTCGTTTTAGGAGAAAATACTCAGACGGAAAGTATCTCCTGTTTTCCTGCAAGCTCCCCCCCCAAAATCCCAGTGTTTTATGCCTCACAACACCGCCCACCATCACCATGTAGCTCCTGCCTACTC